CTTCGATGCAGGGCGAGAGGGAAAACAGAACATGAACAAGGAGATTCAAACCAAAATGTCCTACCCCCAAGGCAGACCAAGGGACTGAAAATAAATGGACAATGAATGAAGAATGAAAAATGAAAAATGAAAAACGGAATACTGAAAAAAAGAGTGAACACTAAATACAAAAATCTACTACTATAACTGAAGAAAACTCTGAAAAACTGAAAGAAACCTGCATTGAAGATGACTGAAGCTGAAACTGACATAATGAGAAATAGAGAAGACTCAAACTGACATAATGACAAACAGATAGGACTGAAACTGAAACCGATATAATGAGACTGACGGAGAACAGACTCCTAACACTGAAGCTACAATGATTAAAATGATTAAAATCTGATAACTAAATTCAATGATAAACTAACTAACATAGAGGACAGAACAAGACTAATAACTAATTACTAATGAGAAAACTGGGATACTAGACACAATGAAACTAAGAAGAAAAACAAGACTAAATGATAGACTAAAATGATATATAACTAAAGAAAAACAAGGTTACTGAACAACAATCCACTAAGGAGAAGACTAAAATAATTTGAACTGGAATAATAACTACTCCCTCCGTTCCGATTTACTCGTCGTGGTTTAAGAAAGAAGAAGCATAGACTGAAGAGATTGGATTTTACAGGTAAACAGCTGTGTGAATGAGGATATGCAAGATATGTGCTTTGGAAGCCAAGAAGCTCTGTTCATGCAGGTCGATGCGGGAAGGAGAAAAATGCTTCGTATTTTTTATGCCTTACAACTTGTGTGCAAACTAACAAAAAATAATTATGTGCATGAAACAGCCAAACTTTTCTTATGTGGCGCTGTTGAAGGGATATATTGACCTAAATGCTGGCTCTCATACAATCAATACCCAGGTGCGAGAAAGATTCAAAAAGAAAAGAAAATGAAAAAAATGAAAAAAAAGAGATCAACTTTCTTCAAACTGATGTGCAGGGGCAGGAGTCGTGCTTGTGTGCTGCTGACATTGGTCAAACAAGTGATGCGAGTGAACCTCTGCTACATTTACAACAAAAAAAGGCGGCTCAGGTCTTGGGTGGCAACAACACATCCAACGGCACACCAAGCCTTCAGGTAAAAAAGTCTGGGAAGAAAACTAAAAAATAAAATGCGGAAAGAGGAAAGAAGTGACAAACTTAAAACATATGATGAAAATATCAGAATGGACATGTGATAGGTTTCAATGTTCCTTTTCTTTTCAGGATTTAGGCATGATGGGTGACTTTGTTGACGACCAGGACAATTCTCCTGTGCAAATGGAGGATCTAGATGCACAAACAACAAATTTTCAATTATTCAAGGGAGGGGATGATATATCATTTGATGACTGTCAAGGAGATGGATGCCAACCCTCTTTGATGATATTAGCTTGGATCAGGTGAGCAAAAATGTTTTCTAGTGAAGAAACTTAGAGAGGAAAAACACAAAAGGTATCGATAAAAAAAAATAGAAAACTGTCATACTGCTCATGGAAAAAAAGAGATAAACTGGCACACATTTAATGATAAACTTGTCAGTACAACACCTGCAGGTTGATACAAACAATGAAAGAAGAGACGGGTCTTCTGAGAGGGAGCAAAATCATAGCTGGAATCTTGATTCGCCGACATGTGTGCAAGCTGGTTCCTCCAGACAGTCTCGAGAGGAAGGAACATCAACTGATGCATGCCATCTGCAAGTGCAAGACAACGAGAATGAAGATAATGAAATCAATGAAGAATCAATAGAAGTTTTTTTGGAAAATGAAAGACGGGCCGCAGAAGGAGGGAACGATAGAACAATTGATAGTGAGCTGAAACCTGAAACAGGGATGCATTTTGCTACGAGGGAAGAAGCTCAAAAGTTCTTAAACTTCTATGCCTTTGTTGCTGGTTTCTCCATATCTGTTGTGTCGACTGCCCGCACAACCAGCAAAAAAAGGGACAGAGAAGTTACAAGGGTAACACTGAAATGCAACAAGTATGGGCATAATACAGAGGCTGAAATTGAAAACTTGTCTGTGCAAAGAAAAAGCACTGTCATAGCGAAGACAGACTGCAAAGCACAAATGCTAATTGCTTTGAAAGATGGAAGATGGCGTATAACTAACCTCAATCTTGATCATAACCATGAGCTCAACCCTGGTAGTAGGTTTTTTAGATCTCATGTTTACATGTCCGATGAAGAGAAAGCATTGATCAGAACAATGAAAAAGTGCAACATACCTACGAGGAAGATAGTGGCAGTGTTGGCGTACATAAGACGAGGAATGGACAAGTTACCGTACAACAAAAGGAAAGTGAGTAACTATGGTACAACGGTAAACAGAGAACTGGAAAACAGTGATGTCATGGAAGTGCAGCAATACTTCCAGAAGAAACAAGCTGAGAGCCCTAGATTTTGCTACTCAATGGAAGTAGATGCAAAAAACAAGGTCAGGAGCGTGTTTTGGACAGATGCTAGATCTAGAATAATGTACCAAGAGTATGGGGACTGCATTAGCTTTGACACAACATTCCTAACAAACAAGTACAACTTGCCGTTTGCACCATTCGTTGGTGTTTCTCCACATGGGAAGACATACTTGTTTGCTTGTGCCCTTATTATCGATGAAACTGCTAACACATTCAAGTGGTTGTTCCAGCAGTTCTTAGCAGCAATGGGAGGCAAGGCACCCAAAACAATAATAACTGACCAAGACAGAGGAATGGAAAAGGCAATAAAAGTTGTGTTTCCACAAGCAACACACATAACATGCTTGTTCCATGTGATGAAAAAAGCCGAAGAGAAAGGGTGCAGAGTGTTTCAACTGAATCAAGGACTATATGAGGACTTTCACGACATAGTGAATAACTCATTGACAGAGAGAGAGTTTGAAACACTATGGCAAACAATGATTGAAACTTACAATGTGGGTGAGGTGAAAATTTTCCAAGACATGTGGGAAGCAAGGAAAAAATTTGTGCCAGTGTACTTCAAGACAAAGTTTTTCCCATTCATCCAAACAACAGCTAGGAGTGAGGGCACAAATGCTTTGTTCAAGAAGGGGGTTGGTGCACAGTTCAGCATGACAAGCTTCCTACGAGAATATCAGAGAATACTAGACAACATCCATGCAAATGAGGATGAGCTTGACCATAATGCAAAGCACAAAAAAGTTTCCTAGAAATCATTCAACACTAAGTACTACATCGAGAGACAAGCACACAGCCTGTACAACATAAGCATCTTCAGAAAAATTTCAGCTCATTCTCAATGATGTAACAAGATTGCAAATCAGAGAAAAGGAAAAAATGAAACTATACATGGTGTACCAAGCAAAGAACTACTACAAACAAGAACACAGGACAAGGCTTTATGTGGTGCAAGTGGATACTGAGAAAGAAGATTACTCCTGCATTTGTTGCAAGTTTGAAAAGGATGGCATTTTGTGCTCTCATATTCTAAAAGTCATGTTGCACCTTGAGGTGGATAAGATACCAGACAAATACATAATAGACAGGTGGAGGAAACAAGGCCAGAAAATGAATAAACCCAAGGCGATTCCACTCAGATTAGATAATGATGAACTGAGATACAATGTCCTAGGCATGAAGCTAGTGGAGCTTGGCTCAAACGCTTCAAAGAGTCAAAGGAAGTTTGAATACCTGCTATCAGAAATGTTCAGGATTCAACAACACTTAATTGATATGGATAGAGAAGGAGAAGAAGAGATGGATGGGCAAGGAGAACAAATAGAGGAGAGCAACAGATCCAACAAGACAATAGGCACACTGACAACTATGGCACAGAGTGGTGGCAGCAATTCAACTATTGAGCTATTGAATCCTGATAAGGCGCACACAAAAGGGCGCCCACGAATGATGACCATACAAGAACGCATAAAAAACAAGACATTCTACAAGTGCAGCCACTGTAATGATCCGGGTCACACAAAAAGGAAATGCACTAATCTGGATAAAGTATACGACATCCCAAAAAATAAGAGATCAAGGAAGACAAGCCAGCCAAGATCAGCTGATGGAGGTGATTCTCTATAAAAAAACAACTAGAAAATAAACATAGCACTCCATTGACACACTCATAAAAAACTGTGGAAAATGGTATTGTTATCGACTAACTGTGGAAAATGGTATTGTTAACAGGGCGAGGGCGATAGAACGCTACCAACAAAGAGATCAACGCCACCAACATACCTATCAATGAGGTCTCCCAACTGCAGCAATGACGTGGCTCCTACCCTGCAACTCTAACTCCCTCTGCTCGTACCCTGCATGGATAGAGAACAAAGGAGTAGTCAGGACTATTTACATTTTCTGATTGCACAAACTTCATGTAAGAAAAAAAGATTGAGAGAAAAAAGAATGTTTACAAAAAATATGTGAAAAACCTTATTAGAAGCAAAGAATATGAACAAAAATGAGTGTGATGTTTTCATGTTATTTGATATAGATGCGAACAGGGACTGATTGTAGACATCTTTGTTAGTCTTTCATTGCAGTAGTGATACTGAGCATGGCGTCTCTCAAAAAAAAGAGCGGCGCATAGAGTGAGGTTTTAGAAAAATCACACCGATGGAAAAAGTGGTACACACCGCAGAATGAATTAGACACCTACGGGTTCAGACACTAAACTGACAGACGCATAACATTAGAAAAACTAAGACTTAAGTTACTGAAAATTAAGGAAGAACAAACAAACTGACAAGGTAAATGATAGTCTGTCTCTGAATGTATACATCTGACATAGAAGACAAACATTTGTATCTACATGAAAAAGGAAGTGGCCACCATTTACAACAAATATGATATGCTCGTACAACCAACGACAACTTTCTCAACAGTTCAACCGACCACTACACTACACAAAAATTGATCTAGATGATGCTACAAAATTGTTTTAAATGAGCTCTCTTCTTCTCTTGATGCCCATCCAACAAGCCTAGAAACAGAGAAACGCCACCGCTGTCATGGAGGATTGCTGACGAAGTCACCCTAACAAAGGAAAAAAAAGAAAAAACACACATCATAAGACAGTTAGAAAAAAATGCAGAAAAGAATAAAAAAGATGTGAAAAATAAAATTTAAAAAACGTGAAAAAAATGAAGAGTTAAAATGAATGAATGAGAAGAAGAACCTGTAAGTTGAAACCAGTGACAAGGCTCTTGTCTGCAGTGTTTTTCTTCCAAAAGAAAAGTTGGTTCATGTACTGAATTCTTATGTGTTGGATGTCGTCATGTGAGAAAATCTTGCGCAGATCCAAGGGTGGTGCCCATATCTCCATTATCTTTGTTGCAAACACTCCACAATCATTTCTGAAAAAAAAGAGGTGATGTTCAAAAAAAAAACAAGCTGAAAAAGGGGGAAAACAAAAATAAAAACAAGAGCAGGTGGGGAAAGAGAGCCCTTACCCATTAGTCTGTTTGGGCACATGAGGGTACATCCTTTTGAAAATCTTGAAATTATGCTGGTCTGTTTGGAAAATGATTTCCCACAACTTGATGAAGTTCTTGATCTGCATGTGAATAAAAAATGATGAAAAAAAGAAACATAAAAAATAAAATCATATAGATGGGGGGAAGGCATTTAGACAAAAAAAAGATGTGATGAATAAAGTGTGATGGACAGAAACAAAAGAAAAAAGGTGATGAACAACTTACAAATTTCTCTCTGATAGTCTTGTGAAGATACGAGTCCTTGTCATAAAAAGAATCCAAGAAAGCAAAAAGTTTCCACTTGAAATCGACAGCAAACACTATCCAATGGTTGTCGAGACATGTGGGGAAGAACAGCTAATCAAAAATAGAAAAAAATAAAAACACATTAAAAGAGTTGGAACAAAAAAAATCAAAACGGAAAAAAATAGAACACAAACAAAAAAAGAAAAAATAAATGAAGAAGGACAAAGAAGAACACACCGTATTTGACAAATCTAGACGTTTACCCCTACTTGCTGATGCTGCCCCCAGAAACGAAGTGGCAATTGATCTTAGTTTATCGTCTTGGTAGTTCAGTATGTTCTCCTGCAGGGAACAGACAAATACATGACCAAAATGGCAAAGTAGAGGCAGGGTAATGTACACCAAAAAATGATGTAAAAAACCAGCAAAAGAAAAAAATGATAAATTTTGAACCAAACTAAAAACATACACCAATATTCGGGAAGAAATGGTGCCTTCCAGAGATTGAGGGATGACGGTCCTCGAAGAACTTCCGACAAAAGCAAGGGATCAAAAAGTTGTCGACGTGCCCGGTTGGCATAAGGCTTTGTCCAAGTGATACATAATTGCAATGAACCATCGAGTACGTCAACGCATACTTCCTGTTTGTTGCCACATAGAAACAAAAAAAACTAATCAGGCACGGCCATACTTTTCTATGGGCGAACAGGAATAATCTAGTCGGTGTTCTTGGTCTTGGCGATTGCCATCTTCTGATGAAACAACATTTGATCATTGTTTAAGCTATATTGGCGAAAAATGGATTTTGTATGCTGCCATGCTTACCATGAGCTATTCAAGTAGCACTAGGAAACATAGGGTTTTGTGAGTGCGCAAAAACATACCACGGGACAGTAAGATTTAAAACCTTATTTGCCTACTTATTCACTAATGTTTATATTGCCAGTAACTCAAAGGTATCAGACCTTAACTGGTGTATATACAGTCTAAAAGCCCTAAACTTTAACTAAGATATTTCAGCGTGAAGCACTGACTTGAGCTTGTTTTGAGGTGACACTATAGCAAAATCAACAACGAGAAAGCCAAAAGAACAATGGTAACTTTTTTCACAGGCTGAAAAGACACAAAAATACACATGATTTTTTTTCTCAGTCAAAGAACTATGATACAAAAGAAAAACACCAATGACAGTGACATGTTGGAGGAAGAGAATTTTGATCGATCAATCAAAGTGTTAAAAAACTAGTGAGATGTTTGACAGCTTCAAAATGATATACTACAAAATTATGATATAGTACACACTTTAAAGATTGAAAAAAGACCAGTATGTAAAAATACTTAAATAAAACAGGCTAAAAAACTGATTAACGTACCTCTGAATTCTTTTTGTATATGCAAGTTCGATTATTGAGTTGTAATGCATGCACTCTTCGTTTGACACAGGGAACCTTTCGTTTTCCTTGATTGGGAGTTCCAGGAGACTTTTTGGTCGCAAAATGATCAAATCATCATGTCAACCTTGATTGACAATGGTGTCTGGCGCAAGTTCATCGATAATGATATGATTATCAGTGTCGTCTGGCACATCAACAACCTCTTCTACCCCTACTGTAGATTGGCGTTGACGTTTCGCAATTGGTCTGATCAGATTGTTGTATACATGATCTGCATTCTTAGCTAATTCGATTTGCCTGACACCAAAACTTGTTGGACTGATATCAACAATGTCTGCCTTCCTCTTAGTTGGCTGCCAAAAACAAAAATAAAAAAGCTTCGGTGAAAGCTAACATGCAAAAAGTCATGTAAAACTGAACCAAAAATAGCTCCACATATGCGAAAAAAGATAGATTGAAGATTTCCTGCCTAACTAGTTTTAGATTTTAGGACTGTCCAGCTACAAAAATATGCTGACAAGAAAAAGTTGCTTGCTGATTAGCTGAGCTGTCGTGCTACGGTGAGCATGTAGAACACAGAAATGCTCAATAAAAGTACAAAGAAGACAAGACAAAAAGAATGACTAAATACAAAAGGTATAACAAGACGCACTCAGCTCCCTATATCCCTCGTAGCCTCATAACAAATAATAAAAAAGGGAGTAAAAAAATCTAAACACTAACCATAGAGGGGGAAAGATCGGCCACTGGGATTGGTGCTTGTTTTGTGCCAATGATTTGGCTGGTTTTTGAAAAATTCTTGTCTGCTAATGCCATGAGCTTAGGAGGGTTGTTGCTGGTGCCAATCTTGTAGTCCTATAGTGCATGGGATCTTAGATGAAAAAAACATAGTGACAAAAAAGGAAATGTGACAAACAAAAAAGATGCATAAAAGCTGACCTCCTCACTGAACAACTTTATACGGCCTATTGGTGACATGTGGTTAATCATTTGGTAATTGCTTTGCCCTGCCTCAGGAGGTGCAATCTGACCTCCAACATCATTTTTTGTGCCGGTTAGACTGGTGGAGCGTGTGAAAGTGCCCTGGCCGTTTTGCACACTAAACTGCAGAAAAGAGTTGCGCTCCTTCAACCCTACTGGGAATGTGTTAATCAAAGAAAACTCCTGCTCATGATGCATTGTGTTGAACATTCTAGCCCTGACCTTCTTCACTACTCCCACTTCAGGCACTTGGATGGGGAAAAACAGAAAATAGAAAATTAAAACTTGACTGTACAATTCATAGAAAAGACTAAACTTAAGAACCAAAGAAAAAGAAAAAATAGATTTACCTTTTTCATTGCTGTGTTCAACAATTTTAGTAATCACACAATCTGGGGTTGCTGCAGAAAAACACACAAAAAACAGATGTAAAAAGGCACTACTAAAAACAAGGAAGAGAACACAGAAAAAGGTGGGAAATAAAAAAAGAAACATGGAGGAAAAGTTGCACGAATGAACCTAAAGCATCGTGTGAGCTCTTATGAACTACCGACAAACTGTTCTCATCAATAGGTTGCAATGGAAGCTTGTTGTTCCTCGTTCCGATGACTGAAGGCTTAGTAGGTGCAAATGATGAAACTATGTTTTCATTGATCTTGACAGTTGTGCGGTTGATGCCGCTCTTAACGTGCTTGAGGTTCTCATTCACTTTGCTACATTCACCATACTCTGCTTCCAACCAAGAAAAAGCACATATACTCACATAAGCAATAAAAACACATTTATTCGAAGACCACAAAAACTAAAAATAACTTGACAAAATGGTCAAAATAACTTTGAATTAAAAAAACAGAGCAAGTATCCGATGAGATTCTCAAGTAAAAAGGAGCCTCATCACACACCAAAAATGCATACCGTGTGAACTTTTCTGTTGAGTTCTATCATCCTTGCTCATTATGCCCATGTTTTGTTTTGCTACTGGTCCTAGTTTTGAAGAGGTGTCCCGACCACTAACGACGAAAAGAGATGATAGTCTGGATCCAGATAGAAACTTCAACACATTTGATGTTATTGCTTCCTGAACATTTTGCAAACCAGACTCCTTTATGTTGTCGCAGTCTGCGCTGTCAATGATGCCCTGAATGATCTGACAAAGAACAAAAATATGAATAACAGAAAAAGAACAACACTGAAATGACAAGAAAACCTGAAAAAAAATTAAGATGAAAGATACAAACATAGTGAGGCAAGACTAAAACCTGCGTATGTAGAATATTAGCATAAGATGACATCATCTCCTCTTTGAAAGATACTGATATTGATCCTTGTTGAATAATTCCATGAGGAGCACCAATTTCAGTTGCAAACACATGCTGCCATAAAAAGATAATTGATGCGGAAAAAAGGGAAAATAGTCAAAAATAATGACTAACTACAGAAAAAAGAAGAAAGAGATGCATGTGCCTAACTCTCTTTTGAACTACAGAAGAAAAATTGCTCAACACAAAAATGAAAAACGTCTAACACACCTCCTTTTTGAACGGTCTCCTTCCAAATAAGTTGCGCTTCTTCCGGTCAAGTTCCGAGAAATGTTTAATCAAATTACCCTTCCATGCAAGAATCCGTGGGACGCCTTGCTCGACCACCCTTATACCAAAGTCAAGCTTGTCCAAATACAACACCTTAAAAAGACACCCAAAAAAACTTAGAGAAGGAAAAGGAACAAAACAATCGACGAGGGTATGTGTGACAAAAAAACCAAAAAGAACAAAAGAGATACTGTACACTTACAGCCAAGCAATATATGCAGAAATCAAACGCTTTTGGTTTTCTGCCGGTTTCCCTACCAAACAACACATATTGGTTGATGCCGGCCAAAATCCATTCGTAGACAAGAAGACACATGTCGAATCCCCTTGTGATAGTAGGATCCTCCAGAAGGAATAGGATGTCCGTGTGTATATGATCATTTGCAGAAGGGAATAAAAAGCATGACATAACAATCACCGTGAAACATATGAAGATGTCTTCATCACTAAGATCTTCTGATGATGTGAGCAAATTTCCAAAGAAAGTGACATTTGGAATTTCTGAAAGATTGAACCTAGACATAATGAAACTCCTCCCTCTCTCCTTATTGGGCATCGCTATAATGCCGCTGTTCGGCAGACCCAACACAAGATGGACAGACTCCTTAGAAAGAGAGATGATCTTCTGATCATCAATAATGATTTGGGAAGATATTGTGTCTACGCAACCAACAATCCATCTGGTGAAGTGAGAAGGGAGTTCAGTCTTCTCAAACTTCAGGAGATGCTCAAACCCGTATTTTGAGATCACATCCTTCCGCCCAATAGCCATACGCTTGAGTATCTCAGCGAAGTACTTGGTAGCATACACACTGTACACATCCCTTCCTAGCCCTGTTGCTTTTAGCCTTTTATTCTGAAAAACCATATTGAAAAAGCAAACTAAGACTAACAAAAAAAAGTGAATTCAGTGATGCAAAAACATTAAAGAGTTGGTACAAGAGATATTCAACAACCTCGACTTTGATATTAGCGTTGTGACAAAAAACTAAGAATTCCCTCTTGAGAGATTTGAGAGCCTGTTGGGCAAGATGGAAACCAACAAACAGAAACCATCAACATAAAAATAAAAAGAAAAAATAAACTGAAAACTAGAAGATAAAACATACCTCCTTCTTGAAAAAGCCGAATAGAGCATCCTCTAACATCTTCTTCCTCCTGGACACAGATTCCTTTCAGAGCAAACAAACAGAGAAAAAAGTTGTTACACACATATAAGACAGAAAACAAAACACATAAAAAGGTGTGAAAAGCCGATTAAAATCTACATGACCATACATCATCACTGGATGTGCTACTCTCCTCCAGACTGTCGTTGTTTGACATTTCATTATCAGGATCGTAGCTGTCGTCATAGCCAACACTGGAAGGTCTATAACCTGCATAATCTGCACACCTGCATGTATGGGGGAATGAAAAAGTTAAGAAAAAATTGCCTTGAAAGAATATCAGAAAAAAATGTTGTGCTCGCAGCAAAGCTAAAAAGTAAAAAAAAACTAACTACTTCTACAATGACTGTGGGCTAGATCATGCTTGCAGCATGCAAAAACACTAAATTCCTTGAATCTACACCCATATCAATTTCCCCATACAAAAAGAACATGAAAACAAACATAGGCAGTGGCACATGATCAAACATAGAACATTTGAAAAACTGCACGTGAATACACCCAAGATTGAAGAAATAGTATGAACTAGGATAACTCTCTCGTCATATGACAAAACAAAGAACATGTGGTCATCATAAGGCCCTTCAAAAAGGATCTGGACACTGGACATCAAACATACTGCTGCTATTATGGAGTTACTCATAACTGAAGGAGCGTCTTAACATCTATTCATTCAGGTACGAAGGGGACGAAAAAAAGCATTCAAAAAACATATGTATAAGGAAAAAAAAGCATAGATCCAAAAACACATGTATGAGCACAGATATCTAAATCTTTCACTTCTCACTTATTCAGATTAAAAAAGAGGGGGTGACTGCAACAAATTCCATTGCGGACATGAGTTTCAGAGACATCTACTGCCTGGTTAGTTGGTGCATATCACTGCTTTCAGATTATCCCTAACCATTCTCCAGGTAATCACTCGATGCTCAGGGGAAAAAACACATCCATTACTAAAAGCCATCAAAATCAAACTAACAACAAAAATAGTGGAAGTCTACAATTTCTCCACACCTTCCTGACTAAAATCCACACACTAGTACTCCTGCAGAAAAAAACACATACATTCATTTACCTATCTCTGACCATCTACAAACATTCCTTGGGCCTCTAAAAAAATCTTACAGGGGACACACTAAAGTGGGAAAATCAAATGACAGTGAACATGAGCTCTACATCCAGAACAAAAGAGAAATACATTCAACACAAAGTTGAGGCAGACTTAGTAAAGGAAAATTGGGGAACAAACACGTACAGGGAGCCTGAGACAAATTCAGGGGCGTTCTCTGA